CACAGAGGGTTGGCAGCGGGCACGGGTGGGGAGTGTCTGCTGCCTGCCTCTGCTCCCTGCCCCCTGCTTCTGCCTCCCAGAGCCTCCCATGACCCCTGCCCACCTCCTGCAGCCCCTCACAGCCTCCCTGCCTGCACCTGCCGCCAGTCATGCCCAATCTTATGCCAGGGGGCCATGCTGGGGCAGCACCCACAGGAGGTGGGGGGCTAACACCTGGGAAGGTTTGGGTACCTCAACCACGTGTCCTGCTGCCAGGGGTCTCCCTGTGTCCTCCACCCTGGCCAAGGGCACCACTCCACACACCACGGCACCCACTGGTATAACAGAACAAACAGTCTGGTGGGCACCCAGGGCCTGATCCTTGGCCTCAGCTCCTGTAAGGCAGGTACCAGGAGCCCAAGGACTCACATGCCCACCCTCTGCACTCTCCCAAATTGTAACACTGCTGTGGTGGTGCCTGGCCCTGCTCCAGCTGCTCCTGGGCCAGATCCTGCCAGCGCCAGCAGGCTCCAGCACAGCCTGCCCGTGCCGGTGCTGCGGGTGTTTGTGGTCCTGTTTGTGGTCCTGCCACTGTGTTTGCACTGCACACAGCCCCGTGGTTTGTTTGCAGAGGGCCGAGGGGGCTGTCACGGTGATGGTGGCCCTGCCATCTCCCCATCCCTGGCAGGGTGCTGTGGCTGTGACCACATCCATCTGCTCCCCCACCACAGCCCACACAGGTGCCCTCTGTCAGGCTGCAGCCCTGACACCCTCCTGGCCCTTGTCATCACACCCTTACTCCCCTGCTCTGGATTTGCTCAGCGGTGCCACATCCTTCCCCAAACATGTCCCCACATCTGCTTTCCTAAGGAAGAGCTGCACAGCACCCTGGCAAAGTCACTGATGCTGCCACCAGCTCTTCAGGATTGGCCCTGCCATCGCCTCACCAATGCCTTGCAGGGTGCAGGTGGGACTGGGGACACGCTACTCCCCAGGAACAGCCTTGTCCATGTGGGTCACCCAGAGCAGGCAGGTGGGTCCCCTGGTCCCAGGCCCAGGTGGGCAGCTGGATGTGGCAGGACCCAGCCACAAAGGGTCCCGTGGGGCTGACCCTGCTGTTTTGAGATGGTTGTTTTGGGCTTGGCTCCTGTGTATTGGTTTGTGGCCAGTTTAAACCAGTTCACAGCTTTTATAAGGTGTGGGATGAGTGGGATCCTGTGAGTGCCAGAGGGAACCCAGGCCTGTGGCTGCCAGTGCCGGTGGACGTGTGAGCCCACATGCCCGGGGCGGGTGGCACAGCTCTCCAGGAGGCAGGGACCTGCTCACAACCCAGACCAGACTGGAGCAACCTCGGAGCTCCCTCCCAGGCTTTGGGCTGCAGCATCTTCCCCTCCAGGATGGCCCCAGCGGCCAGAGGAGCTGGTGCTGCCCCGCGGCAGGATGGGGGGGATGTCACCTGCCCGCTGCTCTTCATCCAGCTCAACCAGCTCCTCAGCACCCCAGAGGGGCTGGAGTGGAGGGAGATGGCCAGGTAGGCAAACCTGTGAGGGCCACGCTATGGGAGCCCAGCCTTCCAGCTCAGCTGGAGCCCGGGGCATCCCCCAAAGCCAGTGGTTCCTCAGCCTCGTCCCCAAAGCAGGGCTCCGGTGCCCGGGCTGGGCTGACTCACTTCATGGGAAAGGGCAGGGTGTCAGGCAGGGCGGGCAGTGACCCTGAGCGGGCACAGCGCCCTTCCTCCTGCTCCTCTCTGCTGCCTCTCCAGGGCTCCAGCAGCTGCGCCGGGGCTGGGATGTCCCGTACCCCACAGCACCCCTCCTCTACTGGGCAGGGCACAGGCACACGGGCCACGGGGCTCTGGGAGCAGCAATGCGTCTTCCCCCGGGGTCGCAGAGTCTGCGGGGGGTGCCAAATCCGCCGGGCTGTGGCTGTGCCCAGCCCCCAGCCCCCTCGTCCCCGCACGGCTGCCCCGCCGGGCACGCTCTCCCCGTGCAGCACGGCGAGTGCCCCGCGGCAGCGCGCCCACCCCGGGGGACAAAGGGAAGCTCTGTCTGTGCCCGGCGTTAAAATATTTGGCACTGCCTGAGCGTGGAAACAGCTCAAGACACTTCTGTTCTGACTCCAGCCAGCGCTGCTAATGGCAGGGCCACCCCCAGTCCCGGCGCAGCCAGAGGGTGGGTGGGCTGGGAGCAGCCCTGGGGAGAAGGGCTGGGGGATGCTGGGGGGTGACAGATGGGACATCAGCCGGCACTGTGTGCTCACAGCCCAGAGAGCAGAGTGTATCCCGGGCTGCACCATGGCAGTGTGGGCAGCAGGGTGAGGAGGGGATGCTCCCCCCCTGCTCTGCTCCAGTAAGATCCCCCTCGGGACATCACATTCACCTCCTGTTCAAGAGGAGGCCATGGAAATGATCCAAGGGCTGGGACAGCTCTTCTGGCACAGCTTTGCTATGGAGACAGGCTGAGAGAGCTGGGGTTGTTCAGCCTGGAGAAAAGAAGACTCCAGGGAAACCTCAGAGCCCTTTCCAGTATCTAAAGGGTCTCCAAGAGAGCTGGAAAGGGACTTTGACAAGGGCCTGGAGTGACAGGACCCACTGCCAGAGGGCAGGGTTAGATGGGATATTGGGAAGAAATCCTTCCCTGTGAGAGTGGGAAGGCCCTGGCACAGGTTGCCCAGAGAAGCTGTGGCTGCCCCATCCCTGGAAGTGTCCAAGGCCAGGTCAGACGGGGCTTGGAGAAACCTGGTCTAGTGGAAGGTGTCCCTGCCCATGGGAGAGGGGTTGGAACAAGATGAGCTTCAAGGTCCCTTCCAACCCAAACCATTCTGTCATCCCATGACTGTTGAAATCCCCCTGATCAGACTGGAGCGGGGTGTGGGTCTGCAGGAATGGGGATGTGACCACCTTGGCTGCCCACCTGCCCCTGCTGCATGAACCCACTGCAGCCCCCTCTGGGCCCCCCAAACCCCACGCTAAGCTCAGAGATGGACACAGGGTCCAGCTCCTACTACCTGGCATGGGACACAGAACTGCCTTGCTGCTGACCCTGCACATCTCCCCGGGCAGGTGGATAAAGTTCGAGGAGAAGGTGGAGGATGGTGGGGAGCGCTGGAGCGCACCCCACGTCCCAGCCCTCCCCCTGCACAGCCTCTTCCAGCTGAGGACATGCCTGCAAAAGGGGACGGTGCTCCTGGATCTGGATGCCGCCAGTTTCAAGGAAATAATCGGTACATGGGTAATGCAGAAGTCATCTCCTGGGATGGGCTGGTCCCTGGAGAAGGACAGGCCACCAGGAGGTGCCTGTAGAACAGCACTGGTGAATGACAGCGTGGCTGCTGCTCCAGCTAAGGGGGCTTTTCCCTGGGAAGCAAACCAGGGGGACTCAGGGCTGTCCCTGTCCCTGCTGCAGACAAGGTGCTTTCTGGGCATCCCGAGGAAGCAGAGCTGCAGCCTGCATTGAGGGAACGCCTGACAGCCCTCCTGCTCCTCCAGCCACGGCACCAGCCCACGAAATCCCTGCTGCAGCTCCTCGCCGAGCTCACCCTCTCTCCCTGCCGAGGTATCCCACCAGGAATCCTTCCAGTGCCACCAGCCCGGGGCAGTGTCCACATTGCCTGTTCACTTGCACATGTGGGTCTGCAGGAATGATTTCTTCTCTTTCTTTGCAGGGAAGGCCAAAGGCAGGTCTGAGCCCAGAGCCCAGCTCTCCAAAACGCCTCTTAAGGAGCAGGTAAGACAGGAAGGAGCTGGGGTGGGAGCAGCTGCTGCTCCCAGGTGCCCAGCTGCTGCATCCCTTCCCTTTCAGCTGAGAAACCGCTTTAGGAAGAAGGTCCCACCGGGAGCTGAAGCTGCCCACGTTGCTGTGGGTGAAGTGGAATTCCTGGAGAAGCCCGTCACTGCCTTCATTCGCCTCAGGCACGGGGTGTCCCTCGGCTCACTGGCTGAAGTTGCTCTCCCCAGCAGGTAACAGAGCACGGCCCATGCCCCTGTTCCCTCTTTGTCCCTGTCTCCCCATTCCCTCCCACACCACACAGGGCTTCGCTTGGCCAAAGCAAAGGGAATTGCAGCCAGTGCCACATACAGTCCCAGAATCCTGCCTCACTGCTTCCCTTTCGGCTTTTCCCAGCTCCTTAGAAGCATTTCGGGATGGGCTGAGAGCGGAGTATCTGTTGGGCAGCCTGGGAGGGACATCCCCTGGGTCATCCCCATCTGGAGTCTGCATTCCCTGTCCTTAGGAGGCTCTGGATGCTCTCCACTTACTGCCGGGAGCGTGGGGCTGGCGGCGGGACACAGGTTCGCAGGAGTCTCTTGCCCTCCCGCTGCCCACGAGCAGTGGGACGGGGTGGGGGGAAAGAAGAAGGGAAAGGGTTTTTTCCCCATGGCTGAGGAACGCAGCTGTGAGAGTAAATGGTCCGTGTGTCTCTTGAGCTGGGCGCTTCCTTAGGGAGCGCGCGGAGGAGGCAGGCGGGGATCAGGAGGGACATTGCCACCTCCTGGTCACTCTGCCCAGAGCACCCGTCCTGCAGGAGCTGGGAGGAGCAGGACATCCACCCACCTGCTGCTCTGTCCTCGGTGGCAGATGGGTGGCAGGTCCCCGTGGGTATAGAGGGTCTCATGACAGCCCCTTGCCCTGAATTTTCCCCCCTCTAACAAGAGGGGAGAGACAGCTCGTCCCTACCCATCCCTTTGTTCATGGTACCATCCCCTTTGGTGGCCAGTCCAGGCTGTTCCAAAGGCACAGCCACCACCTCGGGGCTGTCTCCCTCTCAGGTCCATCTCCAAGGTTTTAAGGTTTTCACATCGATGTGGTGCAGATGGCCGGGTGACAGCAATCCCGGGTGGCTTCTGTCACCTCCCGTCCCCTTGGAGCCAGGCTCCAGGGGACCTCCAGCCCCACATCAGGGCTGCAGCAGGTTCTGCTGAGCCCCACTCAACCCCACTCATGCTACTGGAGGAGTTTCCCTGCCCCCTCTCTGGAGGTTTGCTCAGGGTAGTGTCCTGGAACCGCTCGGCAGCCTCAGGGTTCCAGGACTGTAACAGTTTCTGCCAGTTTTGGAAAGGAGGGGAGGGCTTTGGTTAAACATTTGGCTGGACTGTCCCTCTGTAGACCTTATTAATTTGCACCATCCTCTGAGGTGTGGGATTTTCACCATATTTTATCAAGGACCCTGAGCTCTCTTCCCAGTCTCCTCCCATGTCTCCCAAGTCCCGTCAAACCTGCTGCCCATGCTGCCAGCAGGCTCTCCTTCCCTAACACTCCTGCATCCTGCCTGTGAGCAACATTCCCGGTTGCATGATCCCACAGACACCCCCAGCCAAGACCTTGATCCCACAGACACCTCCAGCCAAGCCCCTGATCCCACAGACACCCCCAGCCAAGACCTTGATCCCACAGACAGCCAGGACTGTTTCCTCCTCTGCCCCAAACACCTCTCCCCCCACACCCCCCAGCCCCAGTTTCTGCAGACTCTGTGATCCAGTGGGGTCCTGGCATCCCATGTTGTGGGCTCTCCATGCAGTGGCAACCCTCTTAGGGTGGTCACTCCTTAAGGTGGCAGGAGCCCTCCAAGCCTGGCCAGCTGCTGTCCCCAGCATCCTCCTGGTCTCTCCTGGGAGAAGAATTCCCCAGGGAGCAGAGTGCTGCTCCAGAGCTGTGCTGTCCCACCCACAGGTTCCTCTTCATCCTGCTGGGTCCCCCCAAGGTGAAAGCCTACCACGAGGTTGGCAGGGCCATGGCCACGCTGCTGATGGATGAGGTGAGCCTGGAGCAGCACCCATGACTGGGATGGGCCTGGGATGGTGACACTGGAGCTCTTCTCCTCTGCAGGCTGCAGTGGAGGGCAGAGGAGGGGGTGAACTGGTGCTTTCCCTTGCCTAGGATAAGAAAACTAAGGTTTGGGGTGGGTCTGTGGGATGTAGGGGCACTGGTTGCACTGAAGTGGGTGGGTTTGTTCCTTGGTGAAGGCTGCAGGCTGGGAGGAAGGCTCCGAGGGGCTGAACACAGGGACATGGTGGCTAAACCACAGCACCTCCCCACAGCTCTTCCAAAGGGTTGCCTGGCAGGCTGAGCACCGAGAGGACCTCATCACAGGGATGGAGGCGTTCCTGGATGAGCTGATTGTGCTTCCTCCCGGGAAATGGGACCCCAGTGCCCGAATTCCTCCACCAAGCTCTCTGTCATCTCCGTGCAGGAGGTGGGCTGAGGGGAGGGCACCCCAACCTCTGCCAGCCCCTCTGCAGGGTCCTGGGGGGCACACCCCCGCCTGTGACATTGAAACTTCCATCTCCATGGGGATGAAGCTGCCCTGGAGCAGGGAGGTCCTCCCAGCTAAGCCCCTCTGACACTCCAGCCAAGGACCACAGCTCCAGTCCCTGATGCTGCTAGTCCTGCTGTCCCACTTGGCAGGGGGTGGCAAAACCACCCCATACGCCCTTCAAAAGGAGCTGCTGGGAATGCTGGGATTCAGCACTCATATGTGAAGCCCATCCTCTGAGCAGGACACCCCGGGCTCTGCCCTGCTGCTCCAACAAAACTAGTCCTGTGAGCTCTGGCTCCAGGGCTTGCTGGAGGAGATCATGGTTGGGTTGGAAGGGACCTCTAAAGACCACCTAGTCCAATCTCCAGTCTCTCCTCCTCCTGGTCTTTCTCCTCCCCATTTTCAGGGGATACACAAGGTCCCCCAACCCTGCTGGCACCGCTGTCCCCTCTCCATCCTCCCTTTGCCCTCATAGTGTCCCCCAGGTGCAGCTGGCCCCTGAGGGTCCCAACCTGAAGCCTGTCTCAGGCTCTGTTCTGCCATAGGACCGCTGTGGACCCACCAGACCAGCAGCCCCATGGCAACGGGGACATGGCAGCAGCTGGGCACAGAGCCAGCCCAGGGCACCCACGCTCTGGGGAGGAGCTGGAGAGGACGGGCAGGTGGGTGCCTGGAGGGACGAGGTGATGGGTGACGGATTGGGGGCAGGGCACTGGCTGTCATGGGGCCACCAAGCCCCTCTGAGCTGGTGTTTCCCAGGGAAGGGACCATCCCTTGCCGGGTGACTGTGTGGGGGGTGATGCCCAGCTGTGGGGGCTGCTCTGAGCCCTCCCTCCTCTCCTCTGCCCCAGGCTTTTCGGGGGGCTGCTGCGAGACATCCGCAGGAAGGCACCGTGGTACTGCAGTGACTTCTCCGACGCCCTGCACCCCCAGTGCCTCTCGGCAGTGCTCTACATCTACCTGGCCACGGTCACCAACGCCATCACCTTCGGGGGCATGCTGGGGGACGCCACTGCCAACATGCAGGTCAGCACAGCCGTGGGGTGCCCGGAGTGCTCAGCCCAGCCCATGGGGTTCCTTGGTGCCCACCTCCCACCAGTGCTCCTGGAGCATCCTGAGCATCACCCCAATCCTCCTCCTTCCCCCAGCACTGACCCTGCACTGTGCTGCTGGGAGGGACAGGCCCAGGACCCCCCTCCCTGCCGTGTGCCTGGCACCCCTTCCCTGCATTTCAGGGGGTGCTGGAGAGCTTCCTGGGCACGGCCTTTGCTGGCTTCATCTTCTGCCTCTTTTCGGGCCAACCCCTGACCATCCTGAGCAGCACCGGCCCCATGCTGGTCTTTGAGCGCCTCCTCTTCTCCTTCAGCCAGTGAGTTCCCTGGCAGGGATGGATCCTCAGGCCACTGTCCCCTGGACGGGGCATAGGCCACCATCACTGCAGGTGGGTGTTGGTTGTGAGGTTTTGGGTCACTCTTCCCCCAGGGACCACAGCCTGGACTATCTGGAGTTCCGCCTCTGGATTGGGCTCTGGGTGGCCTTTTTCGGCGTGGTGCTGGTGGCCACTGAGGCCAGTCACCTGGTGAGGCACTTCACCCGCTTCACCGAGGAAGGCTTCTGTGCACTCATCAGCCTGATATTCATCTACGACTCCCTGAAGAAGATGCTGAGCCTGGCAGACGCCTTCCCCATCAACTGGCAGTACCGGCTGGACAACGTCACCTCCTACAGCTGCACCTGCAACTTGTCCAGCCCCGGTGAGCCCAAGGGCTGCAGGTGGGTGGGGAGCAGGAGGCTGCTGCCTCAGGACCCCACTGGAAACCTGCTGCCTGGCCAGATGCTGGAGGAGGCTGTTTAATCCCATCCTCATCTGCCCGACCACATTGCACCTTCCTCCACTTCCCTCCATGTGGTCTGTCCATCCATCCCTGCCTCCTGGAACTGCCCTGGCACCAGACAGGGCAGTGCCAGGAGCACAGAGAGCCTTGGCCTGGCTCCTGTGGCTCCAGGATGGGGGATGGCAGGGGCTGGAGGGGTTTGCTTTGCCATTTCTAGCCCAGTCTGTAAACCAGAGAATGTTTCCTGGAGCTTGAAGATGTGTCCACAGTGACCCTGGGAACAGCGCCCAAACCAAAAGGATCAGTGCTAGACCAGCCTGGGGACAATGGTGCATCCTCCCTTGGTGCTCCTTTAGCACCAGCCAGGCCTAGGAGGTCCAGGATCCCATGGGGCCCCACCTAGTATCCTGAGCCCTTGGGGAGAGCCTGAGGACCCACACTGATGGCAGCACTGTCCCAGTTATCCCTGATGGAGCCAGCAACACCCTGACCCTCCTTCCCCTTGCAGGTCACAGCTCTGCAGGGAATGACACACTGCTGCCCTTGCCCCTGCTCCCCACACAGGTACAGCCCTGCTCCCAGGCAGGTGGGCGAGGGGCTGGGGTGGGACCAAAGCGTCCACGCACGACCCCTCCTCACCTCCTGTCCCGTCCCTGCAGCCTCCCACCACCCCAGAGGGGCTGAGCAGGACCCAGTGCCTGGACCGAGGTGGGCACCTCCTGGGCACCAGCTGTCAGTACGTGCCCGATGTCACCCTCATCTCCTTCCTGCTCTTTGGGGGCACCTTCCTCTCCTGCGCCGCCCTCAAGCACTTCAGGAGCAGCCGCTACTTCCCTGCAGGCGTGAGCATCCCTCTGCCACCCCTGTGGAATGGCCACCCATCCCATCGGTGTGGGGATGGCTCCAGGGGAAGCTGCTGGAGCAGCCCCCACCCCAGGCACCCCAGGAACCCTTTCCATCTCCACGTGCAGGTGCGGAAGCTGGTGAGCGACTTCGCCATCATCCTGGCCATCCTCGCCTCCTGCGCCGTCGATGCTGCCCTGGGCCTGGAGACCCCTAAACTCCTTGTTCCCAGCGAGCTGAAGGTGCTGGCAGGGTGGGCATGGCACTGTCAGGGCATGGGGCTGTGCCCCCCACAGTGGCAGTGCTGTCACTGTCCTTCCCACTGCCAGCTCCAGCCCTACAGGGGTGGGGGCTCTATGAGCAAATGAGAAGGGGCTGAACACATCCCATGCTCTGTAAATAACCTGGCTCAGGCCCAGACTGACCCCATCCCTGTACAGCTCACACTGGAGCGAGGGCCACAGGCTCACCTCTGGGCTTGGGCTCCCTGCCCTGGGTGTGTGGCAGGGCTGGCAGTGGCTCAGAGCAGCCCATGCTCGCTGCCACCTCCCTGGGCTCACCATCATTGCTGCCCAGTGCTACCTCTTCCACCTGCTCCTGCAGGCACATGCCCAGCTCCTGGCTTGTGGTGTCCAAGAGCAACCCCCTGCTCTGCTACAGCCAGGATGTCCTTGTAGGGAACGTGGTAGGTCACATTGCTCAGGAGCATCCCCAGGATAAAGGAGGATGCTCTTCCTCTCCACATCCCTGGGTGCCTGTCGGGCTCCAGCCTGGGCACCTGGGGCTGGTCCTGTCGCCCCGCTGTGCCACACAGAGGTGGGTGGCAGCTGCCATGACCCTTCTGCTCCCCACAGCCCACAAACCCAGCGCGGGGCTGGATCATCGTCCCCTTTGGAGCCAACCCGTGGTGGGTGTGCCTGGTGTCTGCAGTGCCCGCTGTCCTCGTCACCATCCTCATTTTCATGGACCAGCAGATCACAGCCGTCATCCTGAACCGCAGGGAGTACAAGCTGCAGGTGAGCAGGGGACAGGGAAAGGACCCAGGTCCCAGCTGGGCCCCATGGAAGCAGCTGGGGCAGAGTGGGACCCCAAAACAGCCAGTGGGGTGGGCAGACCCCAGCACTGCCCCTCTGATGCTGCTGGGGAGACGGCTCACCCCCAGCCCTGCTGTCTCTCCCCCTGCAGAAAGGAGCAGGCTTCCATCTGGACCTCCTCTGTGTCTCCCTGCTGATGGTTGTCACCTCTGTCACCGGCCTCCCCTGGTACGTCTCAGCCACCGTCATCTCCCTGGCACACATGGAGAGCCTGAGGAAGGAGAGTGAAACCTCGGCCCCTGGCGAGCACCCCGAGTTCCTGGGCATCAGGTACATGAGCCTGGGCCCCGCTTGGGGGGACCCCTTGCCTGTGGCTGCAGAGCCAGGGGACAGGGACATGCCCACCCTGGCCATCAGAGCCGGCTTTGGGGACACCGGTGTCTCCCCAGGGATGCTCCCATTCCCTGTGCCCATCCAAGCTGAAAAGAGCAGAGACCCCAGAGCCAGGAGGGCAGGCAAGGGGGTGGGCTCCCAAGGGACCCCTGTGACACCTGCACTGCCACACACAGGGAGCAGAGGCTGACAGGCCTGGCTGTCTTCATCCTGATGGGAGTCTCCGTCTTCATGGCCCCCGTGCTCAAGGTAAGGAGCCTGGATGCTGGGTGGGCCTCTTTTCCTAGGCAGGGGGTGGCCATATCCTGCAAGGCTGGGGAGTTCCTTGTTCCAGCGATCCAGGGAAGCCTGGCTGGCAGGCAGGGAGCTGTGCAAAGGATTTGGGCCAGGCAAAGGATTTGGCTCCTGTGCCACAGGAGGGTCAGCACACAAGGCACTGTGACCATGTGTCAGCTGGCCACTGTCCTCATGCACATTGGGGTCCCCTGTGCTCCCCAAACACACCCCACCATACCCTCCACACTGTCACATGGAGGTCCCAGCCTGGCTGCTGTTGGTTTTCACCTGCTGCTGCCATGGTAGGAAAAGCCTCTCCAGTGGCCCTGGATTACCTGGGGGCAGGTGGGAGGTGCCTTTTCCTTGACCTCTCTCCTCACCCCTGAGGCTGCCCTTGCACAGCCTTTGATACGGGCCCCCCAACATTCTCATCTCCAAACTGGAAATACGTGGAACTGAAGGATGGATGAGGAATTGGCTGGATGGCCATGTCCAGAGACCTACAGTCAGTGTCCCAACATCCAAATGGAAACCACTAATAAGTGGTGTCTCCCAAGGGTCCCTACTGGGACCAACACAATTTAACATCTTCACCCAGGACACAGACAGCAGGATGGAGCTCGTTTGCAGGTGGCACCACGCTGAGAGGTGCAGTGACACACCTGAGGGATGGGATGGTATCCAAAGGGACTGCGGAGGACATGGGCCCACGTGAACTTCACGTGGTCCAGCAAGGGCAGGCTGGGCTGCTGGGAATGAAGGAGGCAAAGGCTGTGGACGTGCATGGGGGCTTTTACACAGGACAGGACACTTGGCAGGCACAGCCCCCCAGGGAGCAGCCCCACTGACCCCCCATCCCGCTGTCTTGCAGCACATCCCGATGCCGGTGCTGTACGGGGTGTTCCTGCACATGGGGGTGGCGGCGCTGAACAGCATCCAGGTGAGGGGGGGCTGCACTGGGGCTGCTGGTGGGGGCTGCTTTGGGGATCGGGGGGTTTGCTCAGCACCAGCTCCCACAGCAGAGCCCAGATTTTAGCTCTGCAAGACGTGCAGCCTGGCACGGGGCTGTGTCCCCTGCCAGGCCCAGGACAAGGAGGGGGAAAAGGACCTTTCTGGGGCAGAGGGAAGGGAAAGGGAGGTGTCTGGGATGCTGAGGAGCTGGATTAACTTGTGCACTGATGGGTCAGGTGGTTTGGGAGAAGCGGAAGGACCAGTGGATAATCCAGACTTGCTCTCAAAGCCACAGGGACTTCCCCACCTGGGAGCTGGGGACCTGCTGGTCCTTTGGCCTTGGCATTGCTGCTGCTGAGCCAGCTCTGTTCTTCTCCTGAGAAATCCATGGAGAGGAAAAAAAAAATCCCCACTCCAGAATTATCTACACCACTTTTCCCTCTAAACAGTACATCTTCCCTGCAATTATCCTGCTTTGTAGAACAGGCTGGGAAAATCCCTCCCTCCCTCTGCCTGGGAAACCCAGAGCTGTTCTCTGGAGGCTGCAGCAGTTTCCTGCATGTAGGGAGTTCCATCAAGGCCTGTTATCTCACAATTAACCCATTAAGGCCACCTTGAGTCCTTTTGTAGAGGCCCATTAAGGCCACCTTGAGTCCTTTTGTAGAGGTCTGCCTGGAAAGTGCTCCCCCTGGCCTGGGTGGGGGGTGGTACCGGGACCACCGGTCTTGCAGACAAACGCCCTGTCCCAGCACCGGCACAGATGGCAGGAGGGCTGAAACGCAGACACAAGGGCAAAACCCCATCTTGCCGGCCCCGGGGCCCAGCAGGGAGATGGAGGTGTGTGACCCACCCGCCGCCCTCTCGCTGCAGCTCCTGGACCGCGTGCGGTTGCTCCTGATCCCGGCCAAGCACCAGCCAGACCTCCCCTACCTCCGCCACGTCCCCCTGCGCCGGGTGCACCTCTTCACCGTCATCCAGCTGCTCTGCCTGGCCCTGCTCTGGGTCCTCAAGTCCACCACGGCCGCGATTATTTTCCCGGTGATGGTACGACACCCCTTGAACCGGCAGCGCTGCCTTGGGGTTGGGCTGAGTGCTGCCCACCCCAGTGTGGCGTTCCTTTGGGAGGGGACACGTGTGCTGCCCACCCCAGTGTGGTCTCTGGGATGTTCCTTTGGGAGGGGACACGTGTGCTGCCATCCCAGTGGGGTCCCTGGGATGTTCCTTTGGGAGGGGACACGTGTGCTGCCCAGACCAGTGGGGTCCCTGGGATGTTCCTTTGGGAGGGGACACGTGTGCTGCCCAGACCAGTGGGGTCCCTGGGA